GTCTGACTGACAGCACTGTAAACCCTGGAGTGGATCAGACTGCTGTGCACTGGGAGTCAGCCAGTGTGGATCTGCTGTTGTCTCTGAGCACCACAGACATTTGCAAGTGAAACAGATGCCGCTGACACACAGTCACAGACATTTATAGAGCAGAAATGTCAGAGGGCAGCGCTGCCTGCAGGGTCACTCCTAGCTCACGGGTTCACAGGTCTGAGAAAATGGCGCATCTGGGAGGCTCGAGTGGGGAGCTGTGTCGGGAACAAGCAGAGGTTACTTTCCCCTGAGGAGCAGAAAAAGACATTTCTGCTGTTGAACCTCTTCAGATGTTACCCGAAGAAGGCTAAACAGCCGAGACTGTTTTTCTTTCTGTATTCCAGTGTGAAATGAACTCCTGCTTGCTCCCATCGAGCGTGTGCACAGTTAATGCTCCACGGTGACATCGACCCTCTATCTGCGGTCAGATCGCTGCTCTCATCACAGACGCGACAAAGGGCAGTTCCGAAGCCACTCCCTCCCTGACTCTGGGTGCCACGGCAACAGCCAATCCCTGCCCAGGAGATAAAGGGTCCTCCAATAGGAAGGTGGGTGTGAAAGGGGGCTCGTCTGGGCCCCACCCCTTCCGGTCAGCGGTTCACTGCTCCACCACACACAGCTACAGCTCACTGCTCTGCTGGTTCAACCTCGGTCTCGCTGGCTAGTGCTACATGCTCTGAACTGGAGATGGACTGGTGTACTGGTGGAGCTCGCAGACCAGCTTGCCCAGACAGCACTGCCCTGTCAGAGCGGGAGACAGACGCACACACTCACCACCAGCACTTCCATGCTGCGCTGGAGGGGCAGAGACGAGTCCTGGGCCAGAGAGCTGCAGTTCTGGATCATCAACCCTCTGTCTCTCCCTTCCAGTTCTGAGGTCCTTCCTCTCTCCTGCTGCTCTAGGACGAGCTGAGAGAGACACACAGCTACACACACAGTAGGGATCAAGTACGAGCTGAGAGACACACACAGTGAGTGACAGACACACACTGGGGCTCCAGTACGAGCTGAGAGACACACACAGCTACACACACAGTGGGGCTCCAGTACGAGCTGAGAGACACACAGCTACACACACACTGGGGCTCCAGTACGAGCTGAGAGACACACAGCTACACACACACTGGGGCT